GCTTTCAGAGAAGTTTGAGAGACTTTACTGGCACTGTAACAAACCTGGGCACAAGAGAGCTCAGTGCTGGCAACTTCAACACAGGGAAGATGCCACAACAGGAAAGGCTGCCACCCAGAAAGATTGTTGGAAATGTGGAGAGCAGGGACATGCGAGGAGCCAGTGTAAGAAGAATACTACCAATAAGTCAGCTTCGGGTAAACCAGTAGTGGTTCGTGTAGAGGGACACCCATCAACCCCCATCATGAAAGTCCCAACAGCTAAGTGTAAAATGTCAAGTACACATAGTGTCTATGTGGCAGTAAAGCTGGATGGCCAAAAGTGCAACTTTGTCCTAGATTCGGCATCTCAGCAAACCCTTGTGAGTATCAAGGTGCCAGATCACAAAGGAGTACCAGAAGCCATACAGAAACTCTGTGGTATGACAGAGTATTATGCAAGTTTGTGGGAACCAGTGTGGGTAACTATTAAGCTCATAGGCATAAAGGACAGACACAAAGTATAATTGGCTGACATTGAAGACCAATGCATATTAGGCTTGGATTACTTACTACCGAGGAAGCGTGCAGTTAATTTTGATAAAATGACGTTTGGGAGCAACAAAGGCCAAATTCTGTTGCTGCTTCTGTTGATTTGCATGTCACAGCACTTAAGTCAACTACAATACCCCATAGGTCAAAGAAGATCATTTGGGGTAGAATAAAAGAACATCCCCAAGGAAGCCCGATGCTTGTGGAAGCAGTGGAATACCCATCCAGGCCAGCAGATGTAAAGATTGGAAGGTCACTTGTGGCAGGTCATCAAGTAGTACCCATAACAGTGGCCAATTTCTCCTAATGTGAGCAGACACTTAAGGAAGGGGCATTGTTTGGTGTGTGCCAGGAGGAAGAGCCAGTCAATGTTAAGGCAACAAATACGACCATAAAGAAAAAACGTCTTCTCCCAGAACATTTAACTGACCTCTATAAGAAGAGCATAGTCCGTTTATCATCATCACAGTCTCTTCAGGTTAGAGAACTTTTGGCGAATTATGCAGACGTCTTTTCGAAAGGAGATCATGACCTCGGTTGCACAGACCTTGTACAGCACAGAATAAATACAGACAATCACCGTCCAATAAAGATCCCTCCAAGGATAATAGCCCCAGCAAAGTGGCAAGAGATGGAGAAAGTCACGGATGGCCTAATTAAAGAAGGGATAGTCGATAAATTAGATAGTCTCTGGTCAGCTCCCATTGTGTTAGTCCAGAAGAAGAATGGGACCCAGTGTTGCTGTGTGACCTTCAGGGTTCTACATACCCACTACCAAGAATTTATGATACTCTTGATGCCCTAAGTGTAGCCAGGTGGTTTTCAACTCTAGACTTAAAGTCGGGTTTCCATCAAGTGAAAATGGCTGAAGTAGATAAACCTAAGACTGCATTTAGTTATGGCCAAGGTCTCTGGTAATACTGTGTGCTGCCATTCAGGCTTAGCAATGCTCCAGCAACATTTGAGAGGCTGATGGAAAGAGTACTGGAAGGCATACGATGGAGGATAGCCCTAGTGTACCTGGATGATGTCATTTTTTTGCAACAACTTTTGACGGGGAAATGTCCCGGCTAGAGAAAGTATTCAAGCGTTTGAAAGCAGCAAACTTCAAACTCCATCCCAAGAAATGCCACTTGTTCCAGAAAGAGGTGCTTTACTTAGATCACATTGTAAGTGATCATGGTGTGCAAACTGATCCTGACACGGTAAAAGTGGTGTGTGATTGGCCAACACCAGACAATGTGGGAGAGTTAAGAAGTTTCTTACCGGAAGTTTGTGAAGGACTTTGCAACTATAGCTGCTCCACTACATGATTTGACTAAAAAAAGGCCAGAAG